TTTTGCCTCCTTAATATGGGCTTGTGCATGTGTGCATGCCTAGCAAACTGTCATATGAGAGTATATGACTGATGGGGATGTAATATTTCAGCATAATAAAATGGAATGTGCATGTTGTGCATGTTCAGTAGTTTTACCCTGGAGATGGTGATTCAGCATTTCAGAAAAAAATGATAGGGATGTGCTTGTTGTAAGTATTAGCATGTTCATATTCTTTTTTAACTATCATGTTGAATTAAGTTGTTACAATGAGATTTAAATATATATGAATTCCAAAAATAATAACCAGGAAGATTTCAATTTAACACAGATGGACAAAGAAAAGCCAGTGCATATAATCTAGTATTTATTTACATGAAAATGAAAATGCATTGGAATTTATATATATATACTTTAAATCTGCTCAATCACTCAATGAAATTGAAATGGAATTCAATGTGCTAATGTTTGGAATACAATTTTTGGAGGACTTTGAAAGTAATAGTTCAGAACTCAACGGAATCATGAACTATCAGGCGGAATAGAAACTTGAAGATATATAGCTAAGCATCTCATAACTGTATTTAGGCACTCTATGGATCAAAGATACCCTTAAAATTTTATTGCTGGCGGTTCCAATATGTATCCACGGAACCAGATTTTTTGAGGGTGGAACTATGCTAGAACTGTTCAAGAATTATTGTGTTACTCGTTGGATTTCTTCGAGCCATTTTCCATTAAGTAATTTATACGAGTCATTAATCTTCCTTTCATGGAGTTTTTCCATTATTCATATGATTTCCAAGATACGGAATCAGAAAAATGAGGCTCATGCTTCCTTTGTTGAGGTAAGGGAAAATGATCTGATTCGCGATTTCATAAGAATGGAGTTAGTCAAGTGTACTATTTCATATACCGGAAAAAGGTATCATACGGCGGATTTGGGATTGATTCCAACTAATGGATTAGGTCGCACCAATATCAATCCTTTTTATTCCGGGCGTAGCAGCTACATGGACACATTCCTTTATGTTGTTACCAGCGCTTTCCCGGGCCGAGTCGGAATTCTTTATTAGAAAAGGGCAGGCAAAGCCCGAAGGAAGGCTGCTATCCCCTTGGCCTTCTTCGTTTTTGATGAAAAACAAATCTACCATTGTCACGTTTGAGTTCTTTACATGTACGTACAATTACAGCTCTAATTACTTCTGATCTTTCTAGACATGTACGTACAATTACAGCTCTAATTACTTCTGATCTTTCTAGAGGCATATTGGGCACTGCTTCTTTAATTACAGCAACAATAACGTCACTAATATGAGCATATCGGTGATTACCAGCTCCTATGATTCGAATACACATCAATTTTCGAGCTCCACTGTTATCTGCTACATTCAAAAGGGTCTGAGGTTGAATCATATCATTTTTTGTGGTCTTCGGAATGGGGTGCTTTCTGATTTCACTGTCCAAATCCGCCACTTTGGTTGGTCTTCCATTCTCTTCCCTAGGTGAGCTCGCGTAATCGTCAGTCTTGAAGGCCAAGTCAACAGTTCTTTGATCCGCACGAAATCCATCATTGGCTAAACAATTATTTTGTTTTTTTCCGATCGAAGAAAGATTAATGTCTCGCCTCTTCCCGATAGGGATAGGGTGGATTTAGCTGGTTCGATAGGCGTTGGTAGCCCGACTGAATTAGCTGATTCAAGCTTTACTGATGACTTAGCGGAGTAAACCGAACCTGTATCCTCACCTGAAGCTTCTCGATTCGATAGCAAGCCCCGAGAAGAGGGTCTTGACTCTGGAGGAGGACAGTTTCTACAGTTAGTTTATCTAATCGGTGTTACAACATCCCTCTTGTTTAGGGGGAAGATACCTTGAAGTGTCCAGTTCAAGCCAATATCAATGGTGGTACGGATTCTAGGCGTGGAAAAGCTTCAATAGTTTGCTCAAGCCAAGGAATGACAGGGATAAGCTCGATGCGACGAATAGCGTAGTTTCGTACCCGGATTATACTTTCGGCTTTGCCATGTCATTCCCTTTGATTGCTAGTAAAAAGGTAAGTCGCTTCCTTGTGGATAGCTGCACTTCCTTCGCTTCCGGCTTCCCCTTCGACGATGTAGTTTTCTTCGCACCCTCTTTGCTTTGGTCTCTTTCATTCAAGCTTCGGAAAGTCGCCCTTCTTTCACATGCTGATTCGTAAGTGGCTAATCCATTCCGGATGGAGATCCCGGTTCATTCCTTTTTGCAGCAATAAAGGGCTTTTTGAAATACAGTCCTTTCTTCTTTCTAAGAGCTCCCTATCCTGACAAGACCTCTAATTCCACATCTAGATCAAGTCTCAAAGGTGAAGCGAGTGGCCTTGAGGCGCAAGGTTCTGTCGTACGTATCCAATCCTCTCGGTCATGAGAGCAGCTATCGTAGTACTAGCTCTGCCCTGAAGAGCGGCTAGCTGCTATCGAATCTAGAAGTCCCGGAAGCGTTAAGTTCTCTATTGAGGTGAAAGGACCCGACACAAAGCAATTTCTATATCTAAGCAATGTAGCAGGTGACTGGAATACATTCCTTGATATCGAAAATTTTGGCTAAGCAGGACCATTGTTCCTTAATGGCAGCAACAAATAAAAAAAGGACAGCAATCTCGAGAGAACATTAATTTAAAATATATACTTACAACGATGAGCTCCTCCTGGACTGAGATATTGATCAGTACTTTGAAAACACGATGTTGCACTGTAGAATAGATACATATGAAAACAATTAGTTCTATTCAACTCAGATTATGCCAATTCCTATAAGGTACAATTGAAAATTCTAGTAATAATCAAGAGTAATAGAACACCCTAATGGCATTATTAAATAAAGCATAATACCAATGTAATTGTTTTCTCTGAGGCAAATTTGTTTCTATGCATTGGAATTTAGCACATTTTCTTGCATTGCTATTCGTTTTTACGACAATTGATAATTTAACACAGATGTATCAAGAAAAGCCAGTACATATAATCCAATATTTATTTACATGAAAATGAAAATGCATTGGAATTTATATATATACTTTAAATTTGCTCAATCACTCAATGAAATTGAAATGGAATTCAATGTGCAAATGATTGGTAATTTGATATTGTGGAGGACTATGAAAGTAATAGTTCAGAACTCAACGAAATCATGAACTATCAGGCGGAATAGGAACATGAAGATGAGCTCAAACATATAATCTAATTACTGAGCACTAAATTTCAAGTCTAAGCAAGAACCTGTATAAATTAATGACATTAAATCTTTTAAATTGTTGAGTTACAAAATTGTAAAAAAAAAACTAAAGCTCAAATAAAGTACAGAATGTCATAATCTGAGTTTTATTCATCTAAACATATCGACGAAAATTAGAACTGTATAATGAGTTTGTTTATAATTCAATTCAACACAGATGGACAAAGAAAAGCCAGTACATATAATCCAGTATTTATTGACATGAAAATTGAAATGGAATTCAATCTACATGTTGTGCATGTTGGATATGGATGTGCATGTTGTGCATGTTCAGGAAACATTCCCTGGAGATGAGCTTGGATGAGTAAATAAAATTCATGGATTCAGGTTTAAAAAAAGCAAGTCAATAGCTTGTTTTAGGTGCCTAAACTCTTCAGTTTGCAATACAGATGCAAAAAGAATGACCAGGTAGCCTTTGTATATAAAAAAAAATTGCAGATGAAATTTTCGTGTACAAATCATACTCAAGTCAGTTTGCTCTGCATGTCATAGGCATTAAAAATTTTAAACAGGAAAATCAAATATTTAAATTGGAAGGGACCTTATAGTATTATACTTGAATGATTTAAATCTTAAGTTTTAGTGTATGATGAGCACAACGTAGGAAAAAAAATTAAATCTATGAATGAAAAATACAGAAATATTTCTAGCATAAATCCTAAGTATAAAACATCAATGTGAAGAAAAATTCAATCATGAAAAAACATACTCAAGTCACTTTGCTCTACATGTCATAGGCATGAAAATTTTTAAACATGAAAATCAAATATATAAATTGGAAGGGAACTTATAGTACTATACTTGAATGATATAAATCTTAAGTTCTAGTGTATGATGTGCACAACGTGGGAAAAAAATTATACCTATGAAGGAAAAATACAGAAATGTTTCTAGCATAAATCCTAAGTATAAATCATCAGTGTGAAGAAAATTTAAAGCAAAAAAAGAAAAATAAGTCTACATGATTTCAGCATCAATTTGAACAAACACTCAACGAAAGCATGTTCTATCAGGTAGAAGCTGAAATTTATGAATAATTCACAGCATCAATTTTAACAAACTTAGTGACGAAATCATTAGCTATCATGCGGAAGAGTAAATTGCAGAAGAAATCGTTAAGATACTATTATCGAGTCTTAAATTTCTAGGCTAATGAAGAAAAATTATTACCTGAAGAAGAACTCTCTCTGAGACCATACGGAAGATGAACTATGTTCTGAGTTCTCGCAAGAAGAGGAAAGCTGATCAACTGGGAAGAAGTGGTGGAACGTGGCCCTCTTTAGCGGCGAAAATTAGCAACGTGTCCTCAGTTTTTGCAACGTGGCTAATTTGAACGAAGAAGGAATAGCGGTAGCGGTTTTGAACGAAAAGCGGTAGCGGTAGCAGTAACAATAAACGGTGGTGTTTAATTGGGTTGAAATGGACGGTTGGGTTGAAGGGGTGAGAAGAATTGTCGTTTTTGAGTTTTTTATAGCCAAATACGTGGAAAATCAAAAAAGTTACTGTTCACCCGTAGGTTTTCTTTAGTTATAAAGGAAAGTAGATGAACCAATTCAGGAGATAAACTCCTAGTTCAGACCTTCACCCGTTCCAAATTCGGGCGCGCTCTCAATCTCGACGCTGCCTGGTCACTTCTGACATCATACGCCACGTCATCATGAAAAGGGCATTTTGGTAGTTATTAGCAAGTTAAGGGGTTTTTTCCCTTTCAGATAACGACCCGCCTTGAGCTGCTCCGGCTCTATAAATTCGAGAGGTTGGCGCTCGAGTCTCATTTCAACTCCGTCTTCAGTCGTTACTCCGTTCTTCCATCAATTTCATCCCTGTAGCAAACTTCTAGGGTTTCCATTTCGAAAAGTCTTGGATCTAGGGTTTTCACTGATCATTTCTTCAAGTTCTCTGGAGAAGAGAGAAATTTCCGAAGATCAGAGCTCGGTTGATCGTGAATTGACGGGCGTGATCTTGATCTTAGGGGTTGGAGATGTGATCTTCGATTTTCTCCGGTGATTGGTAGAGATCTTCTATCTAGGGTTCGAGAAGCTCAAATCTACGACGAGGATCCTGATCTTTGGGTTTTGATCGGTGAGTTTGGGGGTTCGAAAGAGGATTCGACTCTAGAATAGATCATTTCTTTGGAGTTTGCGAGAACGAGGTCAGGTTTATGAGTTTTAGTGGTGTTTTTGTATGAATTTTTGAATTGGAGCCGAAATTGATCTGATCGCCCCCTCTTTCTTGATATTTGCAGAGAGGAGGTCCAAATTGTCACAGGTTTTGTCTCTAGGGTTTTGATCTTTCTCGGGGTTAGTAATGCAGAAGCTAGGGTTTCCCGCCTTGAAGAGCTTGGAACATTTCAGATCCTTGAAAACACCTCTTTCTGGAGCAGGAAAAGCAACGCCAAAAGCGACAACGATAGTGATTCCAAGTACTCCCCCTGTGGATTCCATAAACTATGGAAGCTTTGCAACTTTGAAGCGCACTGCAGGTTGCCTCCATTTTTTTTTTTTTGCAAAAGAAGCTTTTTTTCATCTTTTTTTTTCTTTTTTATCCCATGAGAAACTGTTCTTTCTTTTGACCATTACTACTTATGTGCTTGATTTTTTAGAGAAACTAATTCAGGAACAGGCATCAGTCAAAACTGACCTTGAACTCGCAGTAAGACATTCTGCTTTACAACTCATTTTTATTTTTTGTTTCATTTTGAAGTTCAGGATTTATCCTTTATATATCACTGCTGTGGTTTGCTTTGATCCTTTGTTTTTATCATGTTGTGGCTTTCTTAGTCCTCATTATATGTTGCACTCTTGCATTGCCCTTGTTAAGTCACTGCAAATTTAATTAGTACCTTTTCTGTTTATCTTTTTATCCTTTCTTTTGGAGATAAAATTGTGAGGTGGAGGCTCCTCATGTTCATCAACTATATCTGAATGAACATCCTCAAAACTAAAAAGATTACAATCACTTGATTAGAAAATATATGTCCTATAGAGCAGCTTAACCCTCAAGAAGAACTGGAAGGTTAATGCATTGAAAACCATATGTATATAAACACAAGGAATATCAAACATCCGACATTGCTGATTCCAATGGCAAGTCAAAATTTCTCATTAGCGTTGTTAGACACCCTTTATCTTGGTAGCAGACAATATTCATTGCTCTAGTCCTCAAGATAAACACACTAGGAATTGGTCTAGAGAACACACTGCCCATACACAGTAAGACCTTAACTCCTTTGTTGCCTGATTGAAAAAAAAACCCAACTGCCATCCCCAACATACAAACACACATCCCCAAAGGCCAAAAACTCTATTTTGGCTATTTCTGGCATTGATATATATTGCATACTTTATCTGACTAAAGTCCTTGGGTCAAAACATGCATCACCTAGATATGAGGTGGGATGTTAAATGCTGAGCCTGTTACATCATGATGTAAACTCCGATGTCAGTCTTATATCCTGAGTCAGCCGTCCCATAACTTCTAATTGCCTCCAATTTTTTTATTATTTTTAATAAATCTTGAAGAGGTTTATTGAAACTTCTTGAAATGGTTTATGCTAATATATCCCATCATGACATGATAATTGAAGCACAAGAAGCTGATAAAAGCAACAGAGCAGATACACAAGTTAGAGGATAAAGTACAAGAAGAAATCAATGAAAATTCTAGGCTTAAAGCAAAGCAAACAGAAGACGAAAAGATCTGGAATGGAATTGATTCAAATATCTCTTCAACAAATGCACTATGTCATCAGCTAACTGAAACTCTTGAACAACTAACTGATCAGACTCGCACAGGTATGAGGAAACTGTTTCCTCTATGCAAATCTTTCAGGTTCTGCGTGATCTAATTTCTCAATGATTTATGCTAAGTAGCTGAGGAAGGCAGGAAGTTAAGCAACAGAGCAGATACACAAGTTAGAGGATAAAGTACAAGAAGAAATCAATGAAAATTCTAGGCTTAGAGCAAAGCAAACGGAAGACGAAAAGAACTGGAAGGGAATTGATTCAAAGATCTCTTCAACAAATGCACTATGTGATCAGCTAACTGAAACTCTTGAACAACTAACTGATCAGACTCGCACAGGTATGGGGAAACTGTTTCCTCTATGCGAATCTTTCAGGTTCTGCGTGATCTAATTTCTCAATGATTTATGCTAAGTAGCTGAGGAAGGCAGGAAGTTCTTTGAAGAAAAGATCTTAGATAACTCAAAAGAGCTTGAGAAACTCAACTCTCAGTTAAATGACTTAGCTGCAAAGTTAGAATCCGCTGGGAATGCAATCAGAACAGGTGAGACAGCAACCCTTTTATTCCCACCAAGAGACGTTACTGTTTCTTTGTGTGAAATAGTTTCTTAAGCTTTAAAACAGAAACAGGAAAGAATAATCCAAAATTCTTGTCATCATCTACATGATTCATTTACCTTCATTTGACTTGAGACTTTAGCATCTGCCTTGTGCCTTTATACTGCTTTAGCTCATGTCCTCTGTTCACCTATGGCTCAATGCCCAGTCCTATCTGCTCCGACACTGTTCTTCATTGTTGTTAAACTTATCCTCCATCAGAACTAGTTTGATATTCATACAATATGATCAAACTTGTAAATTTTATAGTTTTGTGTCTAATTACCGCTTCTTCTCGATGTTTCCATTTCAAACAAAGAGCAGTATTTCAGTTGTTTAATTTCAGTTTCAACCAGGATTGCTCCAGATCAGGACATCTGTTTTCCATGGTTGAGGTTGTTAAGTTTGCTGATATACATTTGTATGAGTCAGCTTTCATTAGTTTCTTACCAGTTTCAGTTTCAGTTAGCTTCCAACTAGTTTCAGACAGCTCGGTAATTGTTAATTGCACCATCTCCCCTCAACAACAGAGCCATCCTCAATCTGTAATCATGAAATATACTATTTTTTTGAGAGAAATGAAATATACTATTTGATATTCCTTAATGTAACTTCTACTGTGATTTTCATTTAACTTTAATGAATGCCTACCCTATTGGTTTGGGTTATTTAATGGGTTATTTGTGCTGTAGATTCACTTCTCCTAATTTAACTCCATTTATATGTTTGTATTATGAACTATTTAGTCCCCACATATGCAAAAACCAAAATGGCCTTATGTTGGGATGCCTATACCTTTATATACATCCAAACTGAGATAAAAATTACGTACTTGAACCTTGATCTCCAGATTTACATGCTTCACACATTTTTTTTTGGATCAGCCTTTTATTAAGTTCGCTTAATTATGAGAATTCTATGGCCCAAACAGTATTCCACGAGGATATTTTTCTGCTTTGACAATCCTGCTCTAAGATCTTTAGTTCTGTGAACAGCATGCTTCAACAAGTACATCTTATGGAGCGACAAAAGTAATCCCTCTTAGTAATCTCTTTCCGATAAATCTTAACTGTTAGTATATTTCTTCTAGTAACTTGTGGAAGCTATATTAATTGGATAAGTAGGATGTTACAGTGATCATATGGAAATGTATGTCAATTCCATGTTTCTGTTATGATATATGTGCATTCTTTTTCCTTCTATCAGGTGAAGAAAAGATTATGGAACTTAGACATGAGAAAGAGGAAATGGAGAAAAAAATAACGGATGAACAGTGTACAAGTGGTAACATTATTAAGGGAAAAGGTAACTTCTCCTCTTTTTGTCATAGATGGTCATCTCATACTATTTTGAATTGTGCTTATGGTTACATGCTCCTATGGTAATCCTACTCAGAGCCTGCCTCGAGGAGGCAGCATCAACTGGATCTTTGACAAAGTTTCTACAAGAAGAATAACTAGAGACATAAGAAGATTTCTTTTGAATAACTAGAGACATAAGAAGATTTCTTTTGTCTAGACGTGTGTTATTTTAGTGGAAGTTTATCCTATTTAGTCATTTCCAGCCAACCTTCTATGCTCTCTGATCTATTTATTGAGAAAGACATTAAAAAAATGACTTTTTGCAGACTAACTAACTCACTAAAATTCTAAGCACAATGCAATAATCGATAAAATTAGGCAATCAAGAAAACACAGAAGACCAAGACCCAGTGGTTTCGCACTATGGCCTGCATATACAGGGCAATCAACAAGGATCACTCCACTATCAAATAAAAGCATAAAAAATTTTTCTCATTCCTCAAGTTTATGCCCAAAACTTGACGATCTACAACTTAGAGGGATATCCAAAAACACAGTCACACAAGGTTACCTCAAGAGTACACAATTCACCAATTTTCCCCATTGTCTTTGGAGAATCCGACATTGTGCACATGACGGAATTACTATGTGGTGAAGATGCCACAGAAATCACTGTAATAGTGTAATTGGAGCATAATAGAATCATGAATTTCTTCTTTATCTTCTCTCTCATTCAGTCTTTGTCCTTACTGTGGATTCCCTCTGCAAAGATTTATTTTATGTTTGGGTCTAATCTGCACAGCTTCGTGGGGGCAGATGCTGCCACTATAAAGGGAGACTCTCCCTCTTCTTTTCTGTATGGTAAAGGTAGAGGGTCAGCAAGTGGGCCCGCAATTAGGCTAAGCTAATAACAGTCCAGTCCACTTGATGGGGGAGACATCAATTATGACTCCTTACCAAGAATTCATGTCGGTCAATTGTCAGCATGTCATACATATGTTTTACCTTCGATATAGGCTTCTTCAACATTTCTACACCATTATCTTTTGAAATTAGAATGTATCTACTGAAATCGGAAACTTCTCACCGAACACATCCCTGATCTAGTTGTATCTGACATCATTATGCTTTGACTTGGAACACAAACTTAAATTGTTTACTAAGGAAAATGGAGCTCTATCACATTAAACCACATCCTGACATAGTTATCCTGCTTCAAGTCCAACTCTCCTATAATCTCTTCATCAACAACATCTACTTGCGAACTTCTGTAGTGCTACATTACTAGACAGAGAAACACGATTCTGCAATCTGGACTGCCTAGAGATGCCACTGGAGAAGTCAACAAGAAACCTGAAATATACCTCCTTGTGTTAATGCTTGTCATATCTGTATCTGTATATCCAGCCCATTCTATTGAAAACCCCTCCACAGCGTTAACATACTTTAGAATTACCTCTAAGATATATGAGAATCCACTCCGCTGCTGTGTAATGTTCTCTTGTTGGATTGGCAAGAATTCCACTGGCAATAACATCACATACATTAAACATCCAATAGCCGGAGCACGATGAACATTCTTTATCTTCTCCCTTTTCTCATCACTATAGGGACACTCAACATAATTCATTTTGAAGTGATTACCAAGTGGAGAACCATATGCCTTCTGCCTACTCATATTAAACTTCTCAATGTGCTTTTTCTGTAATTACCAAAATCTCTTGCTCTCTTGGTATGCGATATATGCATGCAGAATATTTGCTTTGCGGGTCCCAAGTCCTTCATACAGAAGGAATTATTAAATTTCTTCTTAAACCTGTCATTCATAAGCACAGCTTGTTCAACGATTAGTAAGAGAACTATAAATCCTCAACGAACCATCTGACGTGAGCACAATGGCAACCAAAAAAAAAAGAAAGAAAGAAAGATTGCCAGTGTCTGACATAATGGTTCCAGCAAGTAGTTGATGTTAACCAGATATTGAAGCATAAGAAGAGGACTATTTTGTCTTTTCTTTAAGTAATGAAAGAACTTTATTGCCTTTATTCATTGTACTTGTCGCATACCTTGTTTTATTAACTAAAACATCTTGTTGGGTTTAGTCCTTATCCCAAAATTAAACAAGCCATGGTTTGCATGTAGATGCTCTTATCAGACAGTTAGAAAATGCTACTGAAGAAAATAAGAGACACCTCCAGACTGTAGATTGCCAGTTGCATGAAGTGCAGCAGGATCTGATACTGAAAGAAGAAACATGTAATCGCTTGAGGTCTTCTGAGGAGGTTTTAAGAAAAGAGAAGTGTGATTTAGAATGCAATAATCAAGATTTAATACTACAAGTAGACAAATCGCTTCAGGAGATCAAGCACCTTGAAGATTTGGTTTGCGGTTTGATGTCCAAAGTAGTTGATTTGGACAAAGAGAGCCTGACTGTTTCAAATTATGTTACTAAAATGGTCTCTTCATTTGAAACTTTCTGTGAATTGGCCCAGCAGGAGAAGAATTTGGCCTTAAAATGTGCTCAAGGAAACTTTGACAAGCTACATGGACAGTTTTTGGGCATAAGATCTGAAAATGATGCCTTAAGAGCAGAAATTGGAGATCTGAAAGAGAAGATCATGGAGCTTCAGAAATCTCAAGAGTTCACTATGGTACAGCATGCGGAAGAGTGTCGCTTAGTAGAAGATAAAACTCGCACATTGGAGTCTGAAGTGGAAGTTCTTGTTTCAAAGAAGACTGAATCAGAGAAGTTAGTTGTTGACTTAAAAGAGAGAGTTAAAGTTCTAACAGAAGCTTCTGGTGTCACTGAAGATCATATGGTTTGTCAAGTTTAACATGTACATGAAGATATATAGTGGACTGGTATCTTACACTCTCTAATAAATGCTACTCAACTTTGCAGCAAGATCTGTTACAGAAGATCTCTAAATTAGAGACAGAAAATCACAATCTTGAGGACAAGGTTCAATCACTATCGCAGGAAAGAGATGCAGAAGCAGGAGCCTTGAGGGATGAGATTATGACAAAGGATCAGGAGGTCAAATCACTGGAGAATGAAATTAGCAATCTACGTAATGTTTTAAATGACAAGGAACAGGTTCATGCAAGTTTCTTGGACAAAGAGAAAGTGTTGGAAGAGCAAAAAGCTGAGGTTATGAATGACTAGTCAAATCAGCATCATGGAATTATAGTTTTGACTTATACTTCTAATCATGCTGATCATCCTTTTCCAGATTCATGCATCACTTATTGCAGCTGAAGGCAAACTTACTGAAGAAAGAAAACATTTTGAGTTAATGCTCGAGGGGAAACAACTTGAATTGTCAAAGCATTTAAAGGAACTTTCTCAGAGAAATGACCAGGTACTAGGAAATATTATAATGTTATTGTTATCTTTCTTTATGTTCAACCAATCAATTTATTTAGAAGACTAAATGCAGGCAATCAACGAGATCCGGAGAAAGTATGAAGAGGAGAAACTGGAGATTGGAAGAGTGGAAAAAGAAAAGGTTTGCTATTTCTTTGATATGCTGATTCTAGATGATTTCATCTTTCAATATTAGCTTCTTCCCCTAAAATTTTCCAAAATTTTCAGGCAGACAAACTCATTAAAGAAATGGAAAGAAAATGTGATGAAAGAATTTCAGAACATAAAGAAGAAGCCCAGAAGTGCTTGTTGACTGTTAAGGAGGAACATGCTGCATTGGTATGTGCTGTGAATCTTAAGGCAAAAACTAATTTTCTATTAAAAAAAGTATTAATAACAAGTTGGTGAACTATCATGGACGAAGAAAGCCCCTTTTCTGGCTTTATACATGGATTTGATGCGGTCGCTTGGCATTGTTCTTTGAAAAGCCTCCTTTATTTCTATTATTTTTCGAGAGGATTGGTTAGATCCATTGTTCATCTTCTTCCTTTTGTATTTATTTACAAATATATTACTAGTTTCAATGAAAAAGGACTTTTACTCTACAACACTCTTCAACTCAACATGATATAGATTCTTTTGGGCAAAGACTTGAAAAGAACTAAGATTAGTAACTTTATACATGCCATAATATAGTTAAATGTTCACAATTGGCTGCAATACTGATGCTGCAGAAACCTGTGTTCACAAGTAGAAGAAATATAAAGTAGAGGACCGTCAGCTATGTATCATTTCATAGTCAAAGTTGAATACTTGTTATGATGTTTAGGCATCCAAGACAGGAGCACTACATTTTCCTGGTTAAATTCTTACAGATAACAACATATGCTTTGAAATTAAGTTTGATATCCTTTTTGCAGTAGAAGAGTTTTACCTCTTTAGAAAACATCATGTTAAAAGGAAACCGGAGTCAGTTGGAGATGCACAAACTGATTTGTGGTTGACATGACATAGTACCTTTTATTACATTGCACTATAACTAAGACGACTGAGGACTGGGATTGTAGATGTTTTTTATTTCTTTGATGAAACTTGTAAAGTTGTTGATAAATTCCAAAACCTTTAATATCTACTAAGTTCATAATGTGGTAATTATTCAATAGCATGTTGTAATTATTCAATAGTATGCTTGGTCGGGCCAACTTTTAGTTCCAAAATAAAACATAGTGGCGATATTTTGCAGAAAGCAATGCACCAATTTTTGGTCTAATTTGACTTGGACAAGGCTTTGTGTCCCTTGCTATAAGTTTCCTCACACTGATTGGAGATAGATCTCAAATACGTCAAAACATATCTATGAAAAAGGATTGTATGATGAGCTAATGTTATTGCTAATTGGGTGACAAGTGAAGTAATGCATGCATTTTGGAAAGTAATATTCACACTGTTTTTGAGTAATAATGTGGGGGCCCCAATCCTCTTTCCACTGAGGGAAAAAAAAACATTTCTATAAATCGTGTTGGCTACTCGTTTTACTTATCACCTCCCTGATAACAATGCATTTTGATACAGAAACTCCATATTTTCCACATTACTCTCTGTGTAAAATGCTTATTTCCTTGTTAAAATTTTATCTCGATTCGGAAATGGTAATTGTTATTTAGAAGAATCTGCTCTTTTCAATGTCTTAGTAATAGTGTTACATATGAGACACACATGTAATATAAATAAGCATATATGAATGTATGTAAAACAATATAAATTCATTTTTGGAAGGCAACTGTTGGACCTATTTTGCCTGCTTGTAGATTAGTAAAATCCAGCAAGAATATGATCAGAAAGAATCAAACCTTCGAGCTCATCAGAAGGAAGAGCTGCAGAGAATCCAGCTTCAAGCTGAAAATGAGATGAGGGAGGTACTATATCCTATGACAGTATGTTATCTAGGAGCTTTATTCCCTTTTTCCTTTTTCATGATCTTACTTTTGTAAATTTTGAATCTTTGTAGAGAACTTCATCACTGAGGAGAGAACATGAAATTCAAATGAAATCTGTGAAGCTGCAGCACGATGATGACTGCAAAAGATTACAGGAGGAATTAGAGCTCCAAAGATCAAAGGTATGCATTCGATTAGAGGATTGACTGTAAGGTTACCACTTAATTAAATATTGAATGGCCTGCTTTACAGGAGGAGAAGCAGAGAGCACTATTACAATTACAGTGGAAAGTTATGGGCGAAAGCCAGCAAGATGACCAAGAAGTAAACTCTAAAAAGGTCTTGGTATAATCATATCTAGCCATGTACTAGAATAGAGTTTAAAGCTATTGCTTCTAATGTTATATACTGTGAACATATTCTTATGTTATATTGAGAAGTCTATCTACTAGACTCAATTTACTAATAGAAAAATTGACATATTTATAAATTAATCATTCAATATATATACGAAAAATGCTCTTTGAGAATTAAAGTTGTCTCCACTGGTTCAATTATTTCAGGAATATTCTGTTTCATCAATTAAAATGAAAGATCCTTATGGTGGAAAAGAACACAGGATCTCTTTGACAAGTCCTGAAAGTAGAATGAAGGTGTTTCTCCATCATTCTCTTAGTAACTAGTCATGGAACTTGTCCAATTTCTGATGAATGTCCTAACTGTTATTTCTTGTCTATAAACTTCAGGATGCAAATTTATCAGGATTAATGCGCACACCTGTGGCAAACCTACTGAAGAAGGGAAACACAGGAAATGTAATTAACATACCCAAGCACAGGAAGAAGGTGAATTTGTTCTTCCAGTGGTACCTCTAGATGCCATAATGTTTCATGTCAATCTGCTACTGTTTACTTTAATCCAGTGTAACTGCTTCTGAACTACTATAGATAATTTCAATGACATAGACATAATTAGCCGTCAGCCTTACGTCTTACAAGTTACAATTATTAAGTGATTGTTGAAACTCACAAACCTTGTAGGATTGTACATTTAACAAGTTGATTCACTTTGATTATTTTGCTTTAGGTAACACGCCATGAATATGAAGTTGAGACATCAAATGGGCAAACAGTCACAAAGCGCAGAAGAACAAAGAGCACTGTGATGTTTGGGGTATATAGATCCTCACTTGAGAAAGTGTCATTGACTTATAAATTGCAGATTATTGCTTGCATTTAGTTTATTGTTACATCTTTGTCATGGCCTTTCAGGAACCCAATCCTCATAAGACAGCACGTACCAGGACCCCTGATGCAAGCAAGAATGTCACCAAAATGACAAAGGTACAAATATTGTTAACCATCTATTATATTTGAGCCTCTCACTTATGAATGCAGGACTATTAGATTGTCGTAATTAGTTCAGTTATCCATCGTGGTCTATCATCTGTTAACGTGGGAAGGTATCACGTTTCAGAAAGATTTCAAAACTTTGGTTGGTAGTATTAACATGTGGAAATGGATAACCTGTGATTTTAATAAACAGCATTGATCTTATAATGACCTTAAGAGTCCATCTTATTTCTGTATTCACCCTTAGTCTAAGAAAGCTTGCAACAGAGTGTCTAGGGATATAGTCTAGTGGATTTTAGACCAGAAACTTGCATCTGGTACATTTATTGATGCGATTAAATAAATGTATGATATTAACAACTATGGTGAGAACAAATGAATGAGGAACAAAGTCATTTCCTATTACCATAGGTTTACATCAAGGATTGGCTTTAAGCTCTTATCTTTTTCGCATAGTTATGAACGAACTTACTAGGAATACTGAAGATGAAGTCTCGTGGTGTACGTTATTTGCTGATGATAGTATTAGTTGATGAGACTAAGAAAGGGATGATGTGTAAAGTAGAAAGGTAGAGAGAAGCTCTCTAATATAAAGGATTTATGATTAGTATAAACAAAACAGAATATATGGAGTATAATTTAATAAAACTATTGAGGATATAGTACATATTGACACGAAAACATTGGACTAATAGTAAATGGAAAGGAGAGAAGTTATGATAAACTAAAAACACCAAAAACAGGAAAATGAGTAGAGGGATTGAAGAAAACAGCTTTTCAGGTGAAATTAGAAATCTATACACCAGCACTTTCTCAAAAGTTTTTATTTTCGTTAAGAAAATACATTGTGTAACAGTAAATCCAACATGAACATTTGGAGTGGATTTGTAATAATTACATAAAAGTATATGTTCCTCTATGTATGTTGACATACAGTTCTTTGTGGTAATATCTTTCATATATACAGGAGAATAAATAATTTCTTTTATATTGATATTCAGGCATGCCAACATGCTTTGCTTTAAGCTTGCATCCATTGAATCTGTGGATTGGCTTGCTGCAATGGTTAATTTGTTTTATTTGTTTATTTATTCAACATTTACCTAACCTAGCCACTTTTTCCTGGGAATCATGGAAGAGCAGGATATGATAGGAAGCTATTATTTGATCAAAACCTGATTTTTAGAACTTTGTGGGGTTTCTTCTCGTAGTATTTCTACTGGAGGTTGGTGCATCAGCATCGTCCTCGGTGAATGGGCATGAAATAAAAATTGGCACTATGAACTGTGACTATAGTTTAGTATTTTGGACCTTAAATCTGTTTAGTATAATTTGATAAGTTCAGAATGTCTTTCATGATCAATTCCCATGCTCAGTTTTTTTATTAGGTCTTGTATCTGCCCATTTCCTATATGCTGATCTTAATGCTTCAATTGTTTCTTTATAGGTACCTAGCAGAGGGCCCCAACCCCATCCTGCAAACATAGGCGACCTCTTCTCAGAGGGTTCGTTGAATCCTTACGCTGATGATCCTTATGCATTTGATTAAAAGGTAAAAGGCCGAGACTTATTTCTTCTTTATACTACAAGTCTGTTCAAATTAAAACGATTCCTTTTCTTATTGTGCACAACTAAATCATCCTTTTCGGTTATTTTCATATATCTTACCAACTTCCCTCTACAATCTCCATACAATGCTCTAAAACACCAAACTGGTATATTCAGAATTAAGTTCCTGTTATAGAATACTTGTTCACATTTCAAACAAACATCAGCACTTCTAATTTGATATTAACGATGATTAAATAGGGGAGAGCATGAGATAAGAACGATGACACTTCACCTATTTTGCAAAATTAATTGCAATCTGGGCTCTTGACTACTCAGCATAGTAACCAATTTGCTTCTAATCTTATTAATAGTATCGTTCATTAGCCCGAGTCAGAGAATTAATTTGTATTATTCATCTTCAATTGCTCTAACCATATTATATAATTTTGATTGCATCTCAGAAACAAAGGTTTGAGTCCGCTAACTGCTCATCAGAGGATGACAAATTTCATCCGCAAATCACGTGGAGCCTTTGCAATGCATGTCTCGTTGTCCAGACTGCCTTTGGCTAGTGCAGCATCCATATAAATACGCTATTTGCCATGTAAATGTAGCATTCTGCAAACACTTGTTATGTTTCAGTTTCTCTCACCAAACCATGTTAAACTTTAACAGACATCAGTTAGGGATTGTGAAGAGTGACTGCTAATAATTTTTCCTCGTCTAATTGAACTTGGATGCTCTAAGCGTGGGAAGGTTCTGGTAGACAGATGCTTTCTTCTTTGCCGTTTGTCTGAAATATATGTCTGTGCTCTTACATTGTTTATAATATAGTTAGTTGTTAGATGCCCTGGAGCTCTTCACATATTTACTCCCTAAATATTGGTACACTTTGAAAAGTTTCCTTTCAACCTTCTTTTTTATGTCAATTTGCCTTTCAAAATCATATGGATACCCTGACCGTAGAGAATGTTACATCTATCCCTCTTCTTAGTATTTGCTTAGGTATTTATTCCGTACAAAGCAAACGCTAGTCTTAGTCTTTTGGTCTGTTTTATGTGTACATATTTTTATGCATCGTTGGCGCTATTGTGATACAGTTTTGTTGTCTTTCTTAATTTTAGCATCGTTAATTATTGTTTAGTTTCAGTTGTAAGTATTTATGCTTAAATACATGTTTTCAATACTTTTGCTAAGTTTTTAAACTTAAATGTAAAATAAATTAGAAATGCTTATATTGTATGAAACCTAATTTTCTTTGTAATATAAATAACCAACGGTATTAAATAGATAACTTTCACAGTCCAGCACACACACACACACACACACACACACACACACATATATATATATATATATATATATATATATATATATAAAGATTACTTAATCACAAAATATGATAAGGGTTAATGTATGTTATTAGTATCAAAGATGAGAACACGATTCATAGTCACATTTGTATTATGAATCCAATCCATAGTCAAATAAATTATAACTCTGAAATCATGGACAACACAGACAACAGAAATATATGGTGAATGAGAATAATGAATTCTTTTAATAAATAAGCACTTCCGAGTTGACACTATATTACAGTTGTATAAACTCATGATGGCATTGAGATAGATCTCCCTGCTAAGTTTAAGAGTATCAAAACAAAATATACCTTGAATGAAAAACAATTAAGAGCTTTATACACGCTTGCCTGTGGTTGAGACAGATCAAAAGATTCCACAGCTTCATATATATATAGTTCAATCTTTTTAGGGGTTTTTGTCTTTGGGCCCAAAGCTTTACCTATCTTTATTTATAAACCCAACTAGTTTCAGATGTACTCATAAACCCATAGAACTATGTGTATTTGCCTCTCAATCCAAAAAGCATTAATACATCCTATATATATACAATATACACAAAAATAAATTATAAACCCTAAACTACCCCTGCCTTACTCCTCCTCTTTGCTAACTTAACTCCTTTTCATCTTCTCCCTCTTCTCCTTGCTTCGTTTCTCTCTTCTCCTCCTCCATCTCTAAGCATTTAATCTCTCTCCCTCTCTCAAGACCCTCCTCCTTCAAGATCCGCTCTCTGCCCTCTTCAAACTTCTCTTTCATTACAGACTCTTCACCCATGGGCTTCCCCTCTCTCAACTCGGAGCCTAACAAGTAAGACTCATCTTAGTACTAGCGTTGCTAAAGGGGGGAGAGCAGGTCATCTAATGTGCTGCAGCCTCTTTAGTTTCATGCCCGTTATGTGTTTGATGAAATGCCCACTTGGGATTATTTGTTGGCTTGCTTAATAGTTGAATAACTTTGTTTGGTTTCATGTCTACTATGTGTTTGATGAAATGCTCAAATTAGGTGTTTTTTTGGCTTCTTTATTGATTAGCTTGATTTAGTTTCATGCTTGTTCATTGTTCGGTGAAATACCCATTTAGTTTCAGATGAGTCTTACTTGTTAGGCTCCGAGTTGAGAGAGGGGAAGCCCATGAGTGAAGAGTCTGTAATGAAAGAGAAGTTTGAAGAGGGCAGAAAGCGGATCTTGAAGGAGGAGGGTCTTGAGAGAGGGAGAGAGATTAAATGCTTAGAGATGGAGGAGGAGAAGAGAGAAACGAAGCAAGGAGAAGAGGGAGAAGATGAAAAGGAGTTAAGTTAGCAAAGAGGAGGAGTAAGGCAGGGGGTAGTTTAGGGTTTATAATTTATTTTTGTGTATATTGTATATATATAGGATGTATTAATGCTTTTTGGATTGAGAGGCAAATACACATAGTTCTATGGGTTTATGAGTACATCTGAAACTAGTTGGGTTTATAAATAAAGATAGGTAAAGCTTTGGGCCCAAAGACAAAAAACCCATCTTTTTTTTATTGATATCTCAAATAGCTCACCTGCACTAACAATTCGATGTATGAATCTACTCAAGCTAATATAGATCAATCTTTGATAAGCATTTTTGTCACTAATCTCTTCACATTATTCCCCTCTCGGAAATAGTTGCTGCTATATAAAAATGTGTATGCTTGGTAATGAGGTGACATAATCCCATCCACTCATTCAAATGGTTGCATATCCTCATGTACTCCTCAACTCATATGAATACGGTTCCCCATTTGAATGAGTGGAGGTGATTGTGCCACCTCACTGCCAAGCACAAAATTTGTGCTTGGTACCAAACATACCCATATTTCTCTCTCTCTCTCTACACACACACACACACACATTATCTAGTTTCCTCACATCCGTTTTGTATCCACTTTTATATTAGCATGCATATTCGTGTTAGAATCCAATATTTAGTTGATATAGATATAATTTTTTTTTACTGATGTATATCTATATCTATTTTTTTCTATTTTGTGATTTGTAAGCGGATACAGATATAATAAGTACCATATCTGACCATCTCCACCTCCTATTTATAAGTGCTGCCAAAAAACAAGTGAGGGTCCATAAGTGGGAAGTGGGGGTAACTATAGGGTATCTAAGTGCAATTAATAAATTGTCAAACTTTGATAATCAACCTCCATTAAACTCCAACAAAACCCAACAAATAAAGCAATGCCACGTACTTCTCCCACTCCATCTCAACCGTTAGATAACAGCCGTCCAATCTTTAAATCTCCTCAGAATCAACGTTTCCGATCTTTTCGGAAAAAATACTCCATTTCTCGACTATCCTCTCACGATCAATTCTCTCATCATCTTCTTCCTGTTTCTTTCCTTCAACAAAAATGTTTCATTTCAAACCCTAGAAACCGTAATTCTCGTCGATTTCTCAAAATTAGAGCAGAGAATTGGGAACTAGGGTTAGGGTATTGGGTGGAAAGTGTGAAACGGTAATGGGAGCTACGGGTTCGAAGCTGGAGAAGGCTCTCGGTGATCAGTTCCCCGAAGAAGAAAGATATTTTGGCCTAGAGAATTTCGGAAACACTTGCTATTGTAACAGCGTGTTGCAGGTTGGTTGGTCCTTTTTGATCCTTTTGATTAAAGATTTGAATCTTGAGCCCTAGCCTGATGTACTTACTTCTAACTTCCCCAACATTGTTATGGAATTGAGATGAGTATCTGGAAATTTAGTTTGATTTGTTTGTGCAGTAGTTGGCATTTGGAATTTGGGATCAGTTAGAATTTTTGTCAATTTCATGGACAAATTATTTGTGCTTGTTGAAATTAGGACTCATAGGAGCACCATCACAACTGGGGACAATAAAAGCAAATGCTTGCATTGCCCTTTTTTCAGAAATAATATTTGCTATATTGAAGTATTAAGTTGCATTGAATGATGATATGCATATATAATGTAATATCCTAAAATGTAATCTAAACATATTTAATGAAATCTTATCATACGAAAATGTAAATAATATATGTTCGGAAAAGAGCTTACTCAAATTTGCTAAAAAACTTCATAGGGGTAGAATATGCTAAAAACATTAAATACATTTTGCAGAACTATATTATTTTAGGACAAGCCATATAAAAAGACATATCGGCTGATATATTGGCCATGTCAGGGATATATCCCTAAAGATTGCTAAAAAGTGATAAAAGATATTGACATAACATCGTTTTGCAGTAAGCCTTATAAAAGGATATATCGGCCTAGATATTAGCCATATTGGAGACAATGTTATTGAGGCGCAAGGCGCAATGCGGGGCGCAAAGGTCCCTTACGCGTACCATGCGCAAGGCGCACAACGAGACGCACGCCTCACTAATTGAGGCACATAACTCAAACTAATATTTGCCAACATCATAAGACAGAAACATATAAGCAACATATTAGTTACCTACATCCAAAATTATGAGAATATCAACTTAAATCATCAAATTATGCTAACTGAATTTTTAAAGTAACAAAAAAGATACAAGAAACATGTATTTAAATCATCAAATTAAGTGATTAACAATTATGAACATATGCTTATAAATTATCACATAAAAGACTAAGAAATATAATTAACAAACATGACTGTTCATAATTTTCTAGTTAGTATTCTTAATTGATATTTGCTGCTTAGCATGAAAAGATGAAGAATGAATGTAACAATTACATATTTATATGTTCATAATTTGCTAGTTAGCATGCTAATTAGAGAAGGAAGTTACAATTAGCAAACAAGTATACTAAATTACTAATTATTATTTTCTTTTTATAGGTTAAACATGAAAAAATGAAAATAGATTAGCAACTAGTAAGAAAGAGTATATTACATGATATAAATATGTAATTATGTAAATTATTTAAAAAAAAAGAGTATGTTACATAGCGCGCGCCTCGCGTGCGGGGCGCATTTCCCCCAGGCCGAAGCGCCCCGCGCCCGGGGCGCGCGCCTCAATAAGCTTGATTAGAGATATATCCCAAAGAATTGCTAAAAAGTGGAGAAGGATATTGAAACAATATCGTTTTGCAGGAAACCTAATAAAGGGATATATCAATCGATATATCGACCATATTGGGGATGCTTAACACAATGTACCTGGGTACTTCTATCATGAAGTGGTACCTGTACCTGATACATATCAGTCACTGACACTCAGACACTCCTTGGGTACTTCTATCATCTTACATACCCATATTGAACATCGACACTCCTTCAATATGTGCATATAATTAATCAGACATGTACTCAGTTATATAATACATGTTTTAATTTAAAACACTCATTATAAACTTTTTGGGAGTTCATCCTATACTTCACTTTAACTTTCTAAAACTTGTTAGGCATAGGTTAGGTCGTTTCATTCCATACTTTGTTCAGGACTATGATTTCGTTTCCAAATTTTATTCTATATATTACAAAAGAAACATAAAATGTTATAGGAATTTAATTCTCATAACATGTGGATGAAAACATATTATTGATCTTATGTAAATTATAATTCAATATATGTATATGTCAGTGTCTCGGACCCTATCTTTTAAAAATTTGTCGTGCCTGTACGGGCATCCCTAGTGGTACCCATGTCTATGCAACATAGGGTGAGCGGTGCTGTGTTTTTCTTGCATATCCTGTCTTTCAAAACCTTGTTATTCAGAAATCAATCAGACTTCAATCTTGTTCAATGTACAATAATGTCATTTTGACATGCTATATATCTTATCTGTTAGCATAAGGTGCTACAAGCTCTTTCCCATCAAATTTATATATGATGCAACTGTAGGGTTGACTTTGTCATTGGACCTTCAATTGCTGCTGTTTTATTCTTGAGGAAGGAAAAAATATGATCTAAAATGGTTGTTTCTTGTATTCTTCTAGGATAATCTGCTATTAAACATTTTATGATAGTTATAGAGTTTATGTATGATACCTAGTCATTTTCAAAGGGTTGCTATAATTTTTTATTGGCTAATTATTACCTTAATCAAAATGAATAATCTTCATCATCTCTTTAATTTTGTTATAATCAGCTTTCCACTATCCTCCATGCAAGAGTACCCTTCAGATTACTTCTAATCACAAATTATTTATGTAATGCTGTCTTGTAATGACATCCCATGGAGCTATATTTTTAGAGGTTATACCTTTATTGTTTGGGTAAAGTTCGATTTGATAATTTTTTTTACTATCACGACCCAAATTCCAAACCTAAAAGGAATATTAGAGCCGGACTAAACCTGTGAAAAATCCTCCAAAATATGCATTCATTAAAAGACCATCAAAATAATCTCTTCATTGATCTAACACCAACAATAAATATTCTCTATAATCCAAAAAGTCAACATTAATCCAATTAACTTGATATAACAAATTTTCGTCAACTTGAAATAAAACTCGACCTAAAGGAAAAATCTCATTATTACAAAACTCTTAATATCAACTAAACATCAAAGACTTTATTCAACCTTCACCTAAAAGATAATAATAATTCTGAATTTTATTCCTTAATCCGTTCTAAGAATTTGAAATTTTTTTATCAATTCTACCTAAACATGAGTCTCTGAAAAGAATGAAAACAACACAATGAGTTCACAACTCAATAAGTGGATAAATTCATACATTAAATACTGATTTTATAAAAATTCAAATATTTCGACAAATGATAAGCAAATATAAGAATGATAGAGAATCATCAATGAACTCTACTACTTAATGTAAACATTTAAGGAAACTAAAAAAAACTCATGAAATGGAAATAAGCAGGGTACGTTTCAATGCGGTCAACTTCGGTTAACTCGGTAAACCCCACAATAATTAAGCCCGTGGTTCCAGGACGGTGAGACCCAAATTTGGGTTCTTAGCACTAAAACAAAACCTCATAGATACACATTGAGCTCTGTTTTAATAACTTGCTTATATCCGTCATATACCGGTATATTGACCTGAGATGCATATGCTTTAAGAAAATTAAATAAAGTTCGTAAAACTAAATATGTTATACAAAAATGCCTAAGGCCAACCAATAGTGAAATCCATCAATCACATATGCATCTCAATCTACTATTATATGAAAAGACAACAATTAACAAATAAAATAAGCATAGGCTTATACCAAATAACCACGTGCATTCATCCAATCAACAATTAACATGTGAGTAAATCACACAAAAGAATATAATCCATCAGAAATAAATCTGCACATACGTAGTAAAATACTATATGAAAAATACGCAGTGCACAATGCATAAATTCACCACTTACCTTAATTCAAAAGACAATTCAAAATTCAACTCTCACGACGCTTCTGAGGAGCCTGTAGGAACCTCTATAGGATAAATACAAGCTGTCATCTGTAAAAAGTATCCTATTGATTAATTTACATAACTCTTAATAAGTCTAGAACTATAATATCTAATAATTTACGTACCTAGTTGCTTCTTTTCTTTTAAGAGAGAAGACAAAGACCCTGCTGTTCCTAACCAACCAAACTAAATAAATATCTTATTCTACTAAACACATGAGGTCAGCGAGGTATATGAATTTGATATCCTATGAAATCTATAAGAGTGGGAAAAATGAGTACTGCTCCACTACGAACTAATCATCATCTAAAATAAGATCTAAATAATCTAATACAAAAAATTTGTCACATAAAGTAATTACTAAATATAGAAGTATATATTTGTGTAACAATCCTGACCTACCCTCCTTCAAAACAGATCCGATCAGTTTTTTTTGTTGTGCGGCAAGACAAAGACGGGAGGAAGGAGGAGTAGGCTGACGGAAATATGATGAAGGAACTAGGGTAGGGTTTTTACTATTTATAAGAGCCCTTTTTTGCTATTAGAGCCCTCTAACAATTTTGCATAAAAACCTCTTTACTTTTCCTTATATATATCTAGCCAAAAACTTAGAATTATTACACTTACAGTTTAGAGTGATAACTTCATTTTCTTTGCAGGCACTCTACTTCTGTGTTCCTTTCCGAGAACAGTTATTAGAGTATTATGCGAATAACAAGAATGTGGCAGATTCTGATGAAAATCTTATGACATGTTTGGCAGATCTATTTACTCAGGTATGAGAATTCTCTAGTGTCCTTGTTGTTTGATGCATCTTTTGCAGCTTTATTCTCCTATCTAGAAATCATAAGGAAAAATGTTCATCACTTCTTTACACTCAAAATTGGCGGTGCCTGTTGGTAAGCTTCTCAATAACTTACTAGAACTTGTTTGGTCAACTTGATGTTGTCATCTGCAGCTAACTTTTAAATTCTTGTCTTGATGAAGCCCATTAACATTTAACTCCTAAACTGAATTAATAATCTACACCTATGTAGAACCGATCTACATAGGAGATGTGCCGATATAAGGTACATGTGTGATACGTGGACGCTTTGATGCTTGATGGATATGAATGTTCTGTTTGATATATCCTACGATTTGTAGCATATTCTAAATAAATGTATCAGACATGACATACATGTATCTAACACCTAAATCAAATTTTTAGGGAGGGCTTTACTATTCTATTTTGATCTTGCATTGCTTTTTTATGATGCTCTTCAGTTCCTATAGAAAGTGTCACTATTCAGAGAGCGAACAGAAATATATAATTTGTTATTAACTTATTATTGTACCCACTACATATGTAAATTATAGGATTTGCCTTATTTGTGTTGTATAGCCCCATCCTCTCATATCCGTTTCCTTGTGTATATTTGCATTTATATTGCACAAATAAAATGTATATTCCTAAACAACCTTTTTCAATATCTTTTCCATGTTTGTTATATCGTCGTGTCCGTGTCATATATAATTCTAGTATCCCCATGCTTCAAAGTTCTAGACACATACTTTTTCAATCTTCTGAACTATAGTTTCCCTGCTAGCTATTTGTTTGAACAACCCTTGATTTATTAAGTAATATAGATGCTCTAATTTTGTTATGAAAAACAAATATTGTCTTATGATATCTGAATTCTGAACTCTTATTGATTGCGCCAAGGGGATGTTTGGTTGGGGGGGAAACCACAGAGAAGGTTTTCCACTCCGACCATGGAAAGTGGTTTCCCAAAGCCCTTTCCATTTCTTCTGTCTGGCAACATTTATGTTTTGGGAAATGACCTTCCTGAAAGCAGGTGATTTCTCAGAAATGAGTTGGAAAGGCTCTTTTTTAGGAATAAAATAAGTGAGAGGGGTTTAAGTTCAGATGTTCAATCGATCAATCTTTCACTCTCCATTTCCCAATACCATCGTTTCTTGTTTTGAGTTTCTACCCACACAATAGAAAAGCAACCAAAGAGCCCCTAAAGGTCTTTGGTTAATTACTGCATGCATGGTACTTGGAAGATATTCTTCTTTGTCATTTTGTCATTTGAATTTGGCTGGCTGTTCGAAGCATGTAGTCGATATTCAATTATATTAGAGAAAGTTCTAATCCTGACGAGTTATATTAAAGTTCTTGATTTATAGGAATTTCTTATGTGATCGTAGAATACCAATGAAACTAAAGGAAAAATTCTGTAGGACGGTTATAAGACCAACTGTGCTTTATGGGTCAGAGTGTTGGGCAATTAAAAAATAACATGTTCAAAATAACGAGTGTAGTAGAAATGAAAATGATGTGATGGTCTTGTGGGTATCCATTAAAAGATAGGATAAGAAATGAGTACATCCGTAGTAAATTTGAGGTTGCGCCTATTGAGGATAAAATGAGAGAGAATATAATAAGATGGTTTGGTCATGTATAACAGAGACCCCTTAGTGCACCAATTAGGAGGCTGAGAGATCTAGAGGTAGACCTAGAATGATTTGGTTAGAAGTAATTAAGAAGGATATGATTAAGACTAACTTAACGGAGGAGATGACCCATAACAGAATGGAATGGAAAATTAGGATTCATGTTGCTGACCCCAAACATTTGGGATGAAGGCTTGGTTGTTGTTGTTTTTGTATAGAAATTTCTTGCGACATAGCAGCTGATATGCTTAAGAGGTCTGTGTAACCGTTGTCATTCTTTTCACTATGTATATTATTTTCATATGCACATACGATGACTCAATCTAAATTATGACAGTGAACATGACAGGGAACAACAATTAGAGGCCTTTGCTTAGAATAGTGTGATCTTTTTCATAAGCGTTTTTGGATTCAATTTATATTTGAATTCTTATTATAGTTTCTTGTGACATAGCAGGTGACATGCTTAAGAGATCTGTGTAACCGTTGTCATTCTTTTAGCTATGTATATTAATATCAGTATTCACATACATGGCTTAATCTAAATTATGACAGAACATGGCAGGAAAAAATATCTAGAGGCCTTTGCTTAGAATAATGCGATTTTTCAGAAGCGTTTTTGGATTGTGTTGGAAAAATATGCTTGCAGTGTACGTTTGAATTCGGGAATGCATCTTCAAATTCATATCTTTTGATGTTTAGCATGTAAATTTTGAGCATGTTTATGAAAGTGAATTTTTCATGATCTGCTCAATGTCCCGTCACGAGGTAATCCTAGGACCTCCTTCCATGACCTATGTTTAGAAGTCATATAGGCAGGGATATTACTATTTGGACTTCCAAGACTCCTTATATTAAATAGTATCATAATAGGCTAGCATCATCCACCAAAGCTTGCAAATAGTTCCTTTTGTTAATAACTGTTTTCAATTCATAATGTAACATACTCAAGAATCTGTATTCTCTACTGGGCTTGACATGCAAGTGTCTTAGAGTAGATCTTCTTTAATGTCTCATCTGTAATAGGATTGAACTTATTTTGATATTGTATTTAATCACTCTGTTCTAAGGTGCATGTTTTTCAAGGGTTAACTGGGGCATTTCTTGATGCAGATTAGCTCTCAGAAGAAGAAAACTGGTGTTATTGCTCCGAAGAGATTTGTACAGCGAGTAAAGAAGGAAAATGAAGCATTTCGAAGTTACATGCACCAGGTACTTTAGCATCCCTCACTGTTTTACAAGCATTTTGCCTTTACCTGATTATGTTTCGTAGTAATATGTCTATGCTAGCATTTTAAGAACACATCAAATGTTGAAATTAAATTCAAAATTTATGAATTAAACTGTGTATGTCATCAATTACTAGCATTTGATACTTATTTGATTACTACTTTATTTCAGTAATTTATGTCTTGTTGGCTATCATTGTTTATGACATCATACATTTTGTTGTTATCATCTACTTCCAGTATGATTTATTACTATTATTTTTAAATTCCACACTATTTACATGTTTTGTGATTTTTGTGAATACTTAACCCCTTGCTTCACTCAGGCAATCACCTTTCTTGGTGCCTCTCGCCGCAGGTTATATGGACCTTGTTGTTTTGACGTCTCCTTTTTCTTTAAAACACTAACATCCCCTTGTGATTTTGAGATCCTGAGGCCTGATGAGTCACAAGGCATTATTTTATTATGTTATTCGTTTGGAGGTTATGTCTAAAGCAGAAAATGATTGAGTTTCTGTGTTTCCTAGAGCTCCTGTTGGTTGAACTTTTTCAAGTAGGAAGAGGTAATATAAACTTTGAGATATGGTGCCTTTTCTTTACTAATATATGTTCATAGGGTATGGTCTTCTCTGAACAACAACAATGTCAATAAGCAAAGCCTTTATCCTAATTTTTTGGGTTTAGGCTCATGAAACCTACTCTTCCACTCGGTTTTGTTGAGGGCTATCTCCTCGAAGCAAGTTAATCATTATCGTATTTTTCTTAGTAGTTTCAGACCAAGTTCTATTAGCCCACCTCTAAATTTTCTTTCTCGATTAGTTATAATCTTATCACTTCTCCTAATTAGTGCAGTCGATGGTCTCCATTGCACATGGCTACACCCTCTCAAACATTTCTTTCTCATTTTTCCACGATAGAAGTAACTTCTAATGTCCTACAAACTCACGCATCTAATGTCCTACAAACACACTCATGTCTTATCCAATGACTTTGTGATATTCACTCGTCCATGATTACAGTCTCATTTATGCTGTCCTCATATTTTGCACATGTTGTCTCTTAATTGCTCAAATTTCAGATCCATAAATCATTGTGGATCTTATAACTTTTCTATAAAATTCTTTCATTAATTTCAAGGTTTTCTACAACCACATAGGACTTCAGGAGTACTCCTAATGAGGACAACAATTGTAACTTTCTCTATTTGTCATTTGACTTTTTCTATTTCAGTTTTTAGTAGTTAATTTGAATTTTTGAATTTTGAATTGTGGTTTAATTTTGGCATTTGAGCGATTTTAGGGAATTCATTAGAGTGATTTGAGGGATATGTAATTGCTCTATAAAAGAGCTATGTAATCAAAATTATGAATTATTGAATGAATGAATGAAATATTGTGTTAGCTAATTTAGGTGTGAAACCCTAGGTTTTGGGTGTGAAACCCTAGGCTGACCCCCTCCCCTTCTCCTCCTCAGCAGCTGCCCCAATCTCCCCCCTTCCCCTCCCACAAACTCCGACTGTCTCTCCCTCTCTCTAGTTGCCGGCAACAGACACCCTTCAACTCCAAGCAGCGCCGAACTCTCCCCGTTCTTTTCCTCTCCCACAAACCCAACTCTCCCAGATCTCATTTTCCTCCATAAACAGCC